TTTTTTTCTTATTATGAAATTACAGAAATAAATCAAAATAGAAAAATAATTAATGCAAAATTAATCAATTTTCTTCATATACTTGCAATAGATTCTTTTTCTCCAAATTCACAACTATGATATAGACAATATCAATTAAGTAGTTATCTTACCTGGACAAATTCCCGTTTTGCACACATTTTTTCAATACCTGAAATTCAAATGTGTGCAAAATGGGAACAAACCATATATTGAGATAACTGACACTTTGGAATGGACGTTTATTGTGAAAACAGGGTGGCGGATGGTGGTATGTGAATTTGGCATTATAAAGAGAATTTTACAAAGCAGGAAAAATGTTCCTGAAAAATCATGGCATTATTGTGAGGATGGCATGAATCAAATGGCAATATTTCAAGAATTGACTGTATTTTATCGTCATTAATTTGCTTACAGCATTTTCAAAGTACTGAATGTGAATGGGAACAAATTATCCTCTTATATAAAGATGGCATCCAAATGGTCAAGCTATGGGTATGTGTAAGTTTATTAAAAACAAAAGAGTTATCGATGAGATTTGAGCAACATATATTTTATTGAAGAGTATTCCTAGCAACTACAGGTAACTGAAGCTTGTAATACTTTTAAAATCCAAGACACTGGATAGAAATGTTTTTCATCTGGTTTCACTTACTGGTATGCCCTTTTGACCAGGTATTCCAGGTATGCCCGGTTCTCCTGGTTGTCCTGGGAAACCTGGTTGACCTGGTTGTCCAGGAAGTCCATCAAAACTGGGATCGTCTGGATCTCCCCTAAAACCAGGCTCACCCCCAGGACAAACCCCACAGTCGTCACCTCTTCTACCTGAAATTGAACAGATAGGGAAATAAGAGGCCCATGGGCCACATCGCTCACCTGAGCACATTGGCTGGGCAAAAGCACAAATCAGTTCAGTATTGAAAAGATTCCTGGGAAGGGGGGGGGGGGGCTTGAATTTTAAACTACCTGATGATGCTTCCATGTCAATATAACAAATGGCTTTGTTGTTCTTGAGAAGATTTTAAAAAAAAATTCCCATATATTCCTTTGTAAAAATTTGATCCCCCATTGTGGCTCCTCCCTATCCCAGGGGTCATCATTTGAACTTGAATCTACACTACCTGAGGATGCTTCCATATCAGTATGACTAAACATAGCTTTCCTGTTCTTGGGAAGAAAATATTTTTTCTATATGTTTCCATATCAAAATGACTAATCATGGTTTGCAGTTCTTCAGAAGATATTTTCCTTTACATTTCTATTTAAAACTTTGATCCTCCATTTTGGCCCCATCCTACCCATGGGGGCCATGATTTGAATAAAATAGAATCTACACTACCTGAGGATGCTTCCACATAATAATACATCAATCAGGGCTTTGCTGTTCCTGAGAAGAAGATTTTTAAAATTTTTCCTATATATTTCTATGTAAAACTTTGATCCTTCATTGTGGCCCCACCCTACCCCCGGGGGTCATGATTTGAATAAATTTGAATCTACACTACCTGTGGATGCTTCCATATAAATATATACCATGTGGGCTTTGCTGTTCCTGAGAAGAAGATTTTTCCTATATATTTCTATGTACAACTTTGATAGTCCATTGCAGCCCCGCCCTACCCCCGGGGGTCATGATTTGAACAAACTTGAATCTACACTACCTGAGGATGCTTCCATATAAATATGGCTCATCATGGCTTTGCTGTTCTTGAGAAGAAGATTTTTAGGGATTTTTCCTATATATTTCTATGTAAAACTTTGATCCTCCATTGTGGCCCTGCCCTACCCCCTGGGGTCATGATTTGAATAAACTTGAATCTACACTACCTGAGGATGCTTCCATTTAAATATGACTCATCATGACTTTGTTGTTCTTGAGAAGAAGATTTTTAAAGATTTTTCCTATATATTTCTATGTAAAACTTTGATCCTCCATTGTGGCCCTGCCCTACCCCCTGGGGTCATGATTTGAACAAACTTGAATCTACACTACCTGAGGATGCTTCCATATAAATATGACTCATCATGACTTTGTTGTTCTTGAGAAGAAGATTTTTAAAGATTTTTCCTATATATTTCTATGTAAAACTTTGATCCTCCATTGCGGCCCTGCCCTACCCCCAGGGGTCATGGTTTGAACAAATTTGAATCTACACTACCTGAGGATGCTTCCATATAAATATGCCTCATCATGGCTTTGCTGTTCTTGAGAAGAAGATTTTTAAAGATTTTTCCTATATATTTCTATGTAAAACTTTGATCCTCCATTGTGGCCCCGCCCTACCCCCGGGGGTCATGATTTGAACAAACTTGAATCTACACTACCTGAGGATGCTTCCATATAAATATGGCTCATCATGGCTTTGCTGTTCTTGAGAAGAAGATTTTTAAAGATTTTTCCTATATATTTCTATGTAAAACTTTGATCCTCCATTGTGGCCCTGCCCTACCCCCGGGGGTCATGATTTGAACAAACTTGAATCTAAACTACCTGAGGATGCTTCCACATGAGTTTCATCTTTCCTGGCCCTACGGTTCTTGAGAAGAAGATTTTTAAATGATGCCATTATTTTTTCACTAAACCCTAATTATCTCCCCTTGAAAGAGGGCGTGGCCCTTCATTTGAACAAACTTGAATCCCCTTTACCCAAGGATACTTTGTGGCAAGTTTGGTAGAAATTGGCCCTGTGGTTCTTGAGAAGAAGTCGAAAATGTGAAAAGTTTACAGACAGACAGACGGACAGACAGACGGACGCCGGACAAAATGTGATCAGAAAAGCTCACTTGAGCTTTCAGCTCAGGTGAGCTAAAAATTGCATGAAGAAAAAAGACACTGGCTTTACAACAAAGCTAGTTAATTCATGGTGAAAAGGGAAAACCTTGATAGGTGCACATGTAATTGAATAAAAGGTTTATGATCCCCACAATGCCTATTATCACCATACACCCCAGTGACACAGCTTTTTAACATTAAGTCAATCCTTTTTAGTGTCCTAAGATATCCACAAACATGACAATGCTATCATTTGGTTTAGATCTGCTCTGATTTTACACAAGCCTACTAGTCAATGAATGATCAGAGGATAAGAACCAGCTGACTAGCCTTCACAAAGCACAGAATAGTCAGCTGTCCAACATAGGATAAGAACCAGCTGACTAGCCTTCACAAAGCACAGAATAGTCAGCTGTCTAACAGGTAACAGCATTCAAATTCAGATTTGGAATAACAATTCTTTTAAGTTGGTGCTAAAGTATTAAAGCTCATTATTATTTAAATTCAACATTTTCTTTCAAACTATCTATTAATATACTGAAAAGAAAAAAGACATACCTCTTTCTCCTGGGATTCCATCACGCCCATCCTCTCCAGGGATTCCTGGATCTCCCTCCTCTCCGTGAAATCCTGAAGGACCTCTTGGACCAGTAACATCCAGACCATCTCCACGGATACCAGGAAATCCCTCAGGACCAGGTTCTCCCCTAGTACATGTACCAGGAAGTCCATCAAGACCAGGTCTTCCTACTCGGCCCTGTTCACCAGTGTATCCTTGAACCGTTTCTCCAGGTGGTCCCAAATCTCCTGGCACGCCTTTTAATCCAGGTATTCCAGGCAATCCAGGCACTCCATCAAGACCAAAGCCACCTGGAATAAAATAAGTAATCATTGCTTGAGCTTAGAAAATGTTAATTAGGGATTGAGAAAATGCAAACAAGTGCACAATGCTATGATTATTCAAAGAAAAAAAGAAATAAAAAAACCTAAATTTTTGTACTTTGTGCAAATCAACATAATAATCCTAAAAAAAATACCTTGGTCTCCCTTGTCTCCTGGATAGGAGAATCCAACAGGTCCTCTCCTCCCAGGTATCCCAAAAGGCCCCGGTAGGCCAGGGGGACCATCACGTCCCATTTGACCATCTAGACCGTCATTTCCTGTGCAGTATACAAATTATAAGATCAATCATCTGACAGCATTTCTAAATATTAATTCTCACATCTATTTATACCAAGTAATTATTAATTGAATTCCTAAACCTTACCCGGGAATCCTGGAAGACCTTGTGGGCCAGGGTCACCAGGTCGACCTCTGGGTCCAGGACGACCTTGACTCGCACCATCTGGATCTCCTTCTGGACCCTGCAATTTCATTTTTTTAAATCATTTACATGTACTTGAATATTTAACTGAATTCTAAACATTAAAATTTAGTAAAATCAAAACTATTTGTTATTCATTAAAAATTTGGAAATAAGTATGGATAATTTTTCTTATATATATTTTGGAAATGACACAAAAAAACTGCTTCCAAATATTCCAAATTTGGAATATTGAAGGATTAAAATCATGTACAATTTCAAAAATTAATCACATGCAAATTTTGAGGAGAAAGGTTCACAAATGGAAACAATTTTGGGTCTGATTCTAGATTTTCCAAATGAGGACTGTACTGAGCAATTAATGTGATGCAAGTAATTCACTACTACTTTTGAAATCTATACATATTAAACAATTTGAATATCATTATAAAGATATTATGTAACATTGCCAAATAATTGTATTGTCATGGCAACCTACCAGATCTCCAAGGTCACCCTCATCCCCTGAAAACCAGGGTCTCCAGTTCTGCCCTAAAAGCAGAGAAACAGCCTTAGGAAAGGTGACAAAAATACAAAATTTACCCGATTGTGACATAAGATCTAATTATAAATTTCTTATTCAGAACTCCATAAATAGTGTAAAATCTGAACTTTCTAGTCTATCAGGTATTGTTTGTTGCCACTCTATTTTACTAAAATCTAAAATAAGCCTTTATGCCTTAGTTAATTTGAGGGGTGGATCTTACTGTTCCTCCTGGTAATCCATCATATCCTTGTCTCCCCTTTTCTCCGTTCTCCTTTCAAACCATAGGGTCCTGGTGGGCCGTCCTTACCTCTCTTGCCCAAAAAAAAGGTCATAGAAACAAAATATCATATTATCACCATACCTAAGACATAAAATTAAAATCGCAATAAAAATAAGGGCAAATAAAGAGTCAAAATGATCCCCCCATCATTGCATTCCCTCATTTCTTGCATTCCAGGCATCCCAAAAGGCCCTTTATCACCTGGCAAACCTGGAAATCCCTAAAAACAAAAATCCAGGTAAAAGTCAATGAAAGCTACATTATAAATCAAATCTATCTCAGTCTATGTTTTTTCAGTTACCGGTACATGTTTTTCAAAAAATTGTTATATAATATGAAATTAAATTTTTCTACTACAACTTATTACAGATTGTCCATGTCTATGGCCTTCAGATAAAGGAATAATAAAAGACAAAGAGCTAGGTTCACTTTTTGCATAAAATGGCCATGCCCTTATATCAATTAATTGACTATCACCCTCTGTCCCATTTCATATATCAAAATAAAGTAGAGACTTAGTGCTTTCATTTCCTATAACAAAATTTCTTTTTGAGAATCCAGGTATTGGAAAACAGGCTTTGAGAAAATGCAATGTTCTTGAATTTTGCAGAAAACATGTGTATTTGACTATCCTCAGCAAAGAAATAAAATATGAGCACAGCCCACGGTCCAAAAATTAAAACATGTTTTGATCTTCAGAAACAGATCTTTCATTATGTAATTGCATATTTTGGATCAGAGGTTGTGCTCTATATGAAATATTGAAAAAATACCTCAACTTTTGGCCATTTTTAAGGGAATTTACAGGATATGGGAAAAATGATGCATTTTATGACGTCATAATGCATTGACTAGAGAGAAAATTACGTCATGTTCAATAGATACACGGTCACCAAGGGTCCAAGTTATAAATTCTGCATTTTCAACCAAAACTGAGCAGTTTCGATTTTTCAAAAATTCTCAGGGCCAAAAAAGGCCCTAAGTGGCTCTTGCTCTTTTCAAGTTAAGTTGGATTGTTATGACAGAGAGAGTAACAGTAGGGAATTTCCCACTAACCGGATCACCACTCATTCCATTAAATCTGGGTCTTCCAGGTCTTCCTCCCTCACCTGGCTCTACCCCTTTTCTTCCATCAGAATCTCGTTCAGTTTGTTTCCTGGTAAAGTTGCGATGGAGCCTTTAGGACCTTTGAGACCAGGTAATCCTACCTCTTCCTGAAAACAAACAGACAATCATGTAAATTATAGGTCAACACAACAGGTCAATTAGCCTGGAATTTTTACACAGTTTTAAAATTTTCTTAATGATAAATTCAATGTTTTACATTTACACTGGTGACCAAAATAAACTTTCTAATGCCTCTTTAGCATTGGTTAAATAATAAAGGATATTTTGCATGAAATATTCTTAGACTATTTACATTACATGTGCTATTCTTCAACAACATTGTGGTGAATGATTATAATGCATGATAAGTGATTTATCTACAGAAGTATACCTGTAACTTCAACTACCAATGAACACTGACCTTTTCACCTTTGGGGGGATTTCTAACCTGGTCTCCCATGCTTCCCTTTGGCCCGGTTACCTCCTGGAATTCCAGTCGGCCCCTAAAAATTTTAAAGAAGTTATATTTAATTAGAAAAGATACATTTTATGATAAATGAAGGTACCACAATATTCAACTGAGCTACAAGAAAATTAAAAAAAACTACATCATATGAATGCCCTAAAATATATTCAATACTACTTGGTATATTTCCTGCTTCCCCTCCCTGTACCCCACTTCTTTGATGGCTTCATTGTTGGAATAATGAAGAGATATCATAAAGATCTAGCAAATTTATGTCAATATATTTTATTTTGAAAATATGACCAAAGAAAACAGACCAAAAAAATTCCTCAACACTGGGACAGGTACATGTACTTATCTTCTTTCATGTTCTTGTATTTCTAGACTTATGTTACAAGATCAAATTTTTAAAAAAATTTATGTAGTTACAGTTGAACTTCGGTATCTCAAACACTAATATCTCAAATACCATGGATATGTCGATGCGATTTGGAAGTCCCACCCACTTATTCTTCTATGTATTTTACCCTCGATATCTCGAATCTTTTTCGAAGTTTTTTCTCGGTCCCATCGAGTTCGAGATAAGGAGGTTTGACTGTATTTTGATCACTTCCTGCAGGAACTAGCAAATAACAATAAATGGTGTACAGAGAGAAAAATTATCTCCCTTATACTGTTTTCATTTATTATATCAAAAATCAATATGGTACTTTTTAAACATTTGTGTTTATATAATAAAAATAGAAATACAGTAAAACATGCTTATAGCGAACACACTTATAATGAATTAATGCCTACAGTGAAGTCATTTTCATTCCCCAGAGTTTTAAACTTATTGTGAAGCTAACAGATATAAAGAATTACATTTATCACAAAGCAAAATCACAAGCATTCATATATAAAGCATGTTTTACTGTATGCTGATGCCATATTTATGAACTGTAATTCGTGAAGCAAAGTAGTTTCATTAAATTTGTCTTAAAATCATTTTACTATAACACATGTATAATCTTGTACAGGTATAGCAAATTATGGAAACAACAAGATGTGTTTGTGAAACACTGATGCCCCCATATGGCAGCTTATGGCGAAGGTTAAAGTTTCTCAAATGCAAGTCAAAATCCAGGCCAAAAGGTATAAAATGTTGGTATCCAAAGAAAGGTCTTGTCTCGAGGAATATACCTGTGAAATTTGAAAGCCCTAGCTGCAACTGTTCAAAAGTTATGGCGAAGGTTATAGTTTTCTAAAAGTAAGTAAAACGTCTAGGTCAAGGTCAAAGTTGTTGTTATCTAAAGGAAGGTCTTGTCACAAGGATTAAATATGTAAAGTATGAAAGCCCTAGCACCAACCATTCAAAGTTATGGCCAAGGTTAAAGTTTTTTGAAAGTAGGTCAAACTCCTATGTCAAGGTCAAAGGGTCAAAGTGGTTGGTATCCAAAGGAAGGTCTTGTCACAAGGATTACATTTGTGAAGTATGAAAGCCATAGCACCAATCATTCAAAAGTTATGGCCAAGGTTAAAGTTTTTCAAAAGTAGGTCAAACTCCTATGTCAAGGTCAAAGGGTCAAAGTGGTTGATATCCAAAGGAAGGTCTTGTCACAAGGAATACACGTGAAGTTTGAAACCCCAAGCACCAACTGTTCAGAAGTTATGGCCAAGGTTAAAGTCTCATAAAATTTTGCAAAAGTGGGTCAAACTCCAAGGTCAAAGTCAAAAGGTCAAATATGATGGTACCCAAGGAAAGGTCTTGTCACAAGGAATACACATGTGAAATATGAAAGTCATAGCTCTAACCAATCAAAAGTTATGGGTTAAAGTTGACAACAGACAGACAGACAAACAGATAGACAGACAGACAGGACAAAAACAATAAATACTTCCACATAAATATGATCAATCAGGGCTTTGCTGTTCTTGAGAAGAAGATTTTTAAAGATTTTTCCTATGTATTTCTATGTAAAACTTTGATCCTCCATTGTGGACCCGCAATGGGCCCCCACAATGGGGGCATAAAAATATCGATTTTTTCCTTGTGAGATCCTGTTGTCTTCTGATAATTGTACATGTGTCATAATAGAAACTGACTGAACATTTCTTACCCTAGGACCTGGAGGGCCAAAAGGCTCAGGGAGTCCAGGTCGACCTGGAATGCCAGGATCACCCTAAAAATAGATATGTCCAAGATTTAATCATTGTCAGACATAAACTGGAACAATTACAGAAATATTTATTATGGAATAAAGCTCTTAAAGGATGATTCTCTATAGGGCCATTTTCTGGCCTACGATAAAATCACTTAAAAATGTGATTTTATGTAACTTTACTCATTATATTTCATGATTTTGATGTTTGTTTTTCAACATCTATCACCTAAGTCGCGTGATTTAAAGATCACAAACGGCCGTCAAGTAAAGAAAAATTGAGGGTAGGTCTATTTACATCAAGTTTTCAGGCATGTTTCTAGATGTAAATGATCAAAAATTGTTTATTTATGTCGGAAACATATCAGACTTAAGTAATAAAAGCAAAGATTGTTTAATTTAAGGCTAAAGATATTTTTTTATGGCAAGAATTTGACGCATTCACATTTTGCATAATTATTTTGAATGTAAATCTTTACAAAATGCACCTCGTACGATGTTGAAAAATGTTCAATTAGCATTTAATTAAAAGTATTATTTCATATATGTTTATATTGTACTTGTGTATTGTTTCTATAGATGTGGTACCTATTTTACGCATAAAATGCCCATGCAAGACATGAGATTTCTAAGTTTCTTTTGAACTATAAAAGTTGTGTATCAAATGTTTAAAGCAATGAATGAATTTTGTTTGTGATTAAATCAAAATTAAGTTGTAATTTATAAAATATAGTCTACATTTGCAAAAAAAATAAAGAATTCATTAATTTACAGGATGAAAATATCAATGCAAGTACATGTTAATAGTCAGTACATAAAACTCAGAACGGCTGTATTAAATATATATATATCGACGTAAAATGAAATAACATCGTAAGAGTTGATTTGATTCAATTTAATTACGCATGTAAAACAATATATTTAATTTAAAATGCTATCTTAACTATAATACACAAATGTATGTATAAAAGTTGAGCCCCCCCCCCCCCACGGCACTCCATAAAATGGAGTAAATTTTCAACAGTTCCTTCCACTACGCATATCAGAAGTTTTAGTATATCCATGGACTAATAGAGTTCTACAACATCCCAGGTACAAATTGGACCGTAAGAGATGACACTCCTTTCGCACTCTTGAAACCTGAGAATCAAATTCTCTTTCCGTGCTGCGTCAAGAACTAAGGTGTTTAACACGGGTAGTGACAGTTCCTTTGCTAAGTCCTCAGCATTAAAAGTAAAAGTCATGGGTCTCTTGGATATTATCTTAAAGAAGGAGGTCCTGTCCCACGGTAGGTGTTGGTCAATACTGAAACCATGCATAAATCACAATTGTGACACTTCACCTTAAGTGGATGATCTCTTTATCTGGGTGAAAAATTCTAAAATGACATAAAGCAACATTCAATTATCAATCACGTGACATTTAGGAACCCCTTTCCTCCTTGGCGTTTTATTTTCGAAGACAGAACTACTGTTCTCATAACTTATATTGATGCTACCAAAGAAGTGTGATGAATAGATTGAGTCCTCTCAACACCCAGTTAACAAAATACATGTATCCTATGTCACTCATACGGAAAAGTGTCCTTCTAAAAGGTCGAGGCGAGAATTTCCATTATGAAACCATCCCAACAGTAATTCTCTATCTATAAAAGTTACATGTGTACCCATAGAAAAATTAAGTTTATAACACAAATAGCAAATGCATCTTCCCGCTACAACAAAAATAGCTTTTATCATTTCTAGAACTAATAACAAATATGCAGTACTCCTAAGGAAATACAAATACAAAGAAGTAGCATAGATAAACTAAACTATCCTTATAAATAATATAATTATAATAAGTAACTTATATTCATGCCTTATAGTCTATAAAAAATTTCTTTATTTCTAGCAGATAGTTCAATGAGACTTGTCTTCACGTAATTTCATAACAACCAGTCATTTCAGTCCTTTGATTTTAGATTTTTTAAGTAAAAAGTTTACCTTTTTTGAGTTAACATGCATGGCTTATATAAATTCTTAGTAAATCAATAGAAACATGTACTCTAAGTGGAAGTTTATAATAAGAAATAATCTACATAAGCTGATATCCTTCATTGTAAGTAGTTAGCTTTTCCTGCAAATATCGTAAAAATGAAGCAAAAAGTTTTTATTTACATGTCATAACCACCTTTAACCAAGTTGATAATTTGGTAGTCACTTTTTATGTTCATAAGAAGTTTACATGCAAATTTTGGTGTTGGTTAAAGGTGGTTATGACATGTATAGGAGTTACCTAACACACCAACCCTCTTGAGTTTTCCCATTACCCTAATGCTAATACCGACCGATAGTACCTTACTTTGTGACCCTATATCATAACAAATACTTTTGTATCATTAACCAATCAACATTTATCATTAAATTGGAACATTAGCCTACTGACTCATGCAGTTTTTATGGGAAAAAATACTATTTGAAAATTTGAAGTCATTGTAGGCCGCAAAACGGCCTTATAGAGAATGATCCTTTACTGAAATTTAATCATAGAACTTAACTTGTTAAAGTTACATTAAGATTTACATTTCATTATATATAGTGTGAGATAACACGTCTGAAATCCAGTTGTTATGGTGTTGATACTTACACTAGGACCCCTTTGTCCAGGATTACCCGGATCACCTTTTGAAACAAATCCATAAAATCCATCTCCAGGATTTCCCTGTGGATTAAAAAATACATTTTATTGCCAGAAGATACATATTAAAGCCGATCTTTTGAATTATCTTATGAACAAAATACAAAATTGTACATTATAAAATCACTAAATCCAATCTGAGACTTGATCAGCCACTTTAGAGACTTGTGCATTATGTGTTTTATGTATGCTTTACAGATTATCATAATTGGATTGGAAGACATGAGTAATTTCTCTGTCTGTCCATCAGTCCATCCATCTGTCTGTCATTCTATCTGTGTATAACACTTTATGTCTGGACAATATCTCAAAGAGCTTTTGAGCTTTTGCAATGAAATGTGCTGGTACCCGGTACTTTTATCCGGCTGATGTTATGAATATACCGGCCAAAATACTCATTGGAGAAAAATTTAATAACTCTCATATTTAATTAAAATCTCTTCCACAAGCTACTTCCTATTTTTGAAAAAGTACCGCCTGTTTCTAACATTTTTGAAAGCCCTGCCCAACTGCCTATGGCATAAGGGAGACCTCTATCAATTTTGAGGTCAAAAGGTCAAGATCAGTAATTCATACATTGCAAGAAATGGTTTCCAGATGGTAAACTTACTTCTCTTTGAACTTTTTCAATGAAGATTTATATCATACCTCCAAGTCACCTAAAGAAAACCCCTGTTGATTTTAAGGTCAAAGATCAAGGTAAGAAATTCATACATTTAAAAAAAAATGATTTTCAGATGATCACTTTAGTTCTCATAAAGCCTTTTCAATTAAAACTTTTTTTTATCATAAGATGATTGCTCTTTGTGACATAAAGACAACCTGTAAAGGTTTTGAGGACAAAAGGTCAAAGTAAGGAATTCAATTATTGCAAAAATTGAATTCCAGATGATAATTTTTGTCTTATTTGAGCTTTTACAATTAAATATTATCATATCATTACTCCCATTGACTTAAAGAAGATCCCTTTTGAATTTTAGGTAAAACGGTCAAGGTCAAAAATTCATATGTTGTGAAAAAAAAATAATGGCTTCCTGGTGTTATATAGAGTTCTCTTTGTTTTGCAATAAAATTTTATACTTTTAGTCAATATGACTTAAAGAGGACTCTTTTGATTTTGAGAAAAGGTCAAAGGCCAAAGTCAGAAAGTTATATATTGCATACATAATTTTCAGATAATAACTTAATTTTCAGTAAGCTTTTGCAATGAAAATTAAGGTCCTGAATTTCTTTAAATCAAGAAAGACCCCTCATGACTTTAAGGCCAAAAGCTAAAGCTCAATGTCAATCTTTTTCTCTTTCACAATCTGCGTTTTTTTTTTCAGGTCTTCCTTGCTCTTCATATAACATGAAGCGGGGGACACAAATTCCCTGAATTAGCTTGTGATACTTTTGACATCAGTTATACTGCCTTGAAATTAATGCCCAATAGGGGTTGCTTGTGGGTGCAAATATAGTTGCCAAAAAAAGAGTAAACAAAATGACAGCACAAGATGTCAATACTTAAAAACATGAAAGATTTTTATATCTTTTTAGAGTGTTGTTTCCATGACACCCTACCTTGGGTCCGGGTAAACCTGATACACCCTGAGGCCCCCGATTTCCTGGCAGTCCATCAACTCCAGGGTTACCTTTTGTCTCTAAAATAAACAAACACAAATCATTTTTATTTTAATATTCTGTAATAACAGACTGCTTTGTGTCATTCATGTTTACAATAAAATTCTAATTAACCTATGGAATTTCACACTACTCCCAACATCATGTTTACTACATCAATTTTTGATATGTAATATTTTGCTGTAAATTTACAATGTCTTAGCATGGAAAACATTGGCTAACATATGCCAATTTTATTAGAAAAAAAAATTGCATTTTGAAATCTATGATAGAATAAATGTTTTTATACCACCCCTCTATTTCTCTCCTTTAATTATTGTTCACTTTGTCTTTCATTATATAAGTACTCAAAGTATTTTTCATAATAATTTCCAATGCATGACAATCATTTATTACATATTAAATGATTACATTACATTTGATACATGATTAAATTATTTCATACCTTTGTCTCATTACATCCAGGGTAACCCTGTGGACCCCACAGGTCCCTCTAAACCTTCATAACCCTAGAACAAGAAAAAAAATTGTTAAAACAATAACATATCACTCTGAAGCTATAAGAATGACAAATATTTACAATTTCATATATACACATGATAAATGTAATAATTTATAAATAATAAAATCCTACTAGGATTAACAGTTGTGACAATGCAGAAAAATTTCATAGTTGGTTATTTAGTTTTTTCTGCAAAGGTTGCAAGTGATAATCTCCATATTAACAAAGAAAGAAATAAATGTTATTGTTTACATGTAAATCTGTATAAATCATTCTATAAAGTAGGGGAAATTATGTTAAATATTGTTTTATTGATCCATACATCACATTGATGAAAGACCCAATTCTTAACGTAGGTCGCGGGTTTGCAGGCCATTCAAAAGTGTCCGAAAACATACCATGAAAATTAGTTATATGAATCCTCTACCTTCATTTTATATTCTCTGAAAATTTTATAAAATTCGTCTGCATCGTTTTTGTGTAATTAAATCCCAAACATGCCATTGTAGGCGTTACATTTTCGACGTTATTCTATTGAATTATATAAGAAAAACGTCGTTTTCGGCTTGTTTTGAGGCAAGATTTTGTTTCAAAAAATATCAGTAACTTTTAAATGGTGCAGACGAAATTGTTTCCCCTTGGTATTTTAACAAAGAATTGATTTGAAATAAATCAATGTGAAAAAATTAATATGTCTTCGGGTTAGTTTTCGATAATTTAAATGTGGATAATTGCTTTTATATCGCAAAATGTTACATTTTATAGAACGACGTCATAAAATATCGCGACGCCATGCTTAACGTCGTGAATATCTATCCGGTATTCAGTGCAGAAAAATAAGCTAAAATAATTTTTATAAAAAAGAAATTCAAGTCTATCTGCTTTCAAGTGACCCGTGAATCGTATCATAATAATTCAATAACAATGAAATGATTATTAGACATGTTTCTTTTCAGATTAGGTTTTTTGTACGTTTTATATTAGTGAAAATTCTCGCAAGGGACGTAAAACAACAATCAATCCTTTAGTTTCTCTCTTTCAATTTACTTTCTTTATGTGTTGTTTTCTTACCGTTTCTTTTCTGTTTGTTTTGTTTTGCTTTTTTTTTGTAGATTAGACGTATCTTTACATTCAGCTGTGTATTTTTCTTTTCAAGTGTGCTGGCGAAAACGGTATCTTTTAATTCAAGTGATTCAAGTATATAAAATGTTTTTATTTAAGACCATTCAGCAAGGCGCTCAAATCTATGAATTTCTGCCAAATATCGTCCCGGCTAAATACAATATATTTTCAGTATATATTAAAACAAAATATTTATTTTTAAATACCACATTTTCAGAGATGTAAATGGGACGAGGATTTAAAAATCAATTTTATCTGACGTAATCAACAGCCAGTTTTTTTTAGAACATTAATTCTACTTGTTGGACATGGAAAGCAAAGTAGCGAATAAAATCTGTATGTAACAGCATTGCAAGCTGTTGCTTAGGGGACGATCATTTCAGGGGACGTACAGATTTTGGAAATAAATAATCTGTCCTCAAAAATGTTGAAAATAAATAATCTGTCCTCGACTGGGCAAGAAAATAAATAATCTGTCCAAAACTAGTTCTAGCCCCCCCCCCCCCTCCCCCAATGGGAGTTTTCAATTTTGTTTTTTTGATTTTGTTTTTGTTTTTTTTTGTTTTTTTTGCTTGTCAGACTTTTTTCAGTGAAGAAGAAATAAATAGTCTGTCCTTGTTTTTTTTTTTTTTTGGAAATAATAATCTGTCCTTCACCAACATGAAAATGAACAATCTGACTCAGTAAAATTTGCCACACACACACCTCTCCCTCAGAATTAAATAGTTGTCCCCTAACAGGAGGTCAGTGCCGCTAAAAAATTGTCTTAATGTTTCATCGTACCTTAGCAGTATTTAATTTATGATAAACTTGTACATCTATATATCAAATATCCTCTTTAAAAATAAAGTTTAATCTTTTGATGTAACAGGTGTATTTGTGATTTATTTAAATATTGGCTTCTTTCTTATTAAAAGAAACTGATAATTCAAATACGATCAAAGGAAAAAAGGTCAGTTGAACCTTGTGTCCATATCGTTTCACGATACCAAGTGAAAACAAATCAATCGCAACTTCTCGGGCCTTTCCGACAAGCCGAGAAACAACCACTTGTTTTTCCAAGCTTGCAGGAAAGGCCCAAAATGATTTTTTTTAATATTTCCTAATATGTCGAACATTTTAAACAATATAACACTAAACTACCAATTCCAAGAAAAGTTATAACTAAATAATGATATACTGAAGAATATCATCGCAGATTTCTTTTTCATTGTGACGTCATAATCAAATGTGCACAAGAAAGTCGCCAAAATCATATAAACTGCGTACCTAGTTTTAACAACCTCAGCAAACCCGCGACCTACTTTATGACATGGCTTAAACTAGAAATATGTCCATAGGACATGAATGCCCCACCGAGGGTATATTAATAATGCAACATTTTAACACAAATTGAGAAAAGTGAGGTCAAGGTCAAAGGAAAGGTCAAGGTAAAAAAAAATTGTTTATGCAGTTGAAAGGTTACATCGGTATGTATTAGCATATGAAGTTTGATAAAAATATTATGAATGGTTTTAAAACTAAGCTAAACACTAATTAAAGAAAAGTGAGGTCAAGGTCAAAGGAAAGGTCAAAGTCAAAAAATATTGATGCAGTTGAATAGCTCTCATCAGTATGTATCAGCATATAAAGTTTGACACTAATTTAAGAAAAGTGAGGTCAAGGTCAAAGGAAAGGTCAAGGTCAAAAAATGTTGATGCAGTTGAATAGCTCTCATCAGTATGTATCAGCATATGAAGTTTGATAACACTATCTTGAATGGTATCTTTAAAACTGAGCTAAAAACTTATTTCAGAAAAGTGAGGTCAAGGTCAAAGGAAAGGTCAAGGTAAAAAAAATATTGATGCAGTTGAATAGCTCTCATCAGTATGTATCAGCATATTAAGTTTGACACTAATTTAAGAAAAGTGAGGTCAAGGTCCAGGGATTTATCAGCCTATTTTGGGAAACACCATTTTTGGGGTATTGGGAAAAAATTATCGGCTTTTTGATGAAATTGGGAAAAATTAAAAATGTTGCTTAAATCAAGTATTCGGTGTAATTCATTTAATATTTCAGCATGAACTCTAATTTGGGCAACCAAACAGACAATTATATATGATCCAACTTCATACAAGATCAATCATGAATAATAGACTAATAAAGTAAAATTGACTTCAATGAGTATAAAGTGTTTATACAACTTAGGGTAGTACATGTGTGTATGAGATTCCAATTTAGGTCATTACAGAATCTGTTTCTGGAAAATATAAACCTCCTGCAAGTATATATTTTCTCAAAGTCCTCTTTTAATATGTATTAATGCATTGAAAATATATTTTTCTATTTGAAATAATGCCTACAGTCCTTACCATTCACTCGTATATCAATTGAGTATGTAGAAATAACTTAACAAATCTATATAATTACACAATATCACCATTTTCAGAAAAACGGAGGAAATTCGGATTAAAAGTTGGCGATGTTTTTACAGTGTTTTTAAACATGTGTCATGACTGTAGCTTTGCTAAATGACTTAAACAGATGAAAATTACAGACAATCTGACAATTTTCCTTGTGTTTTTCCAAGATAATTAAATATAAAAGCATTGTTCACCAATTGGGAAAAATACTGCCAAATTGGGAAAAACTGAACTCATTTTCAGTTGGGAATGGAGCCGAATTTCGGCCCCTGAGAAGGTACTGATAAATCCCTGAGGTCAAAGGAAAGGTCAAGGTCAAAAAATTTTGATGCAGTTGAATAGCTCTCATCAGTATGTATCAGCATATGAAGTTTGATAACACTATCTTGAATGGTATCTTTAAAACTGAGCTAAACACTAATTCAAGAAAAGTGAGGTCAAGGTCAAAGGAAAGGTCAAGGTCAAAAACTGTTGATGCAGTTGCATAGCTCTCATCAATATCTATCAGCATATGAAGTTTGATAAAAATATCTTGGATAGTTTCTTTGAAACTGAGCTTTGAACAGAGCTAAACGCAAAGTGTGACGGAAGGACAGACGGAAGGACAGAAGGATGGAAGGACGGAAGACGGACATGACAAACACTATAAGCCCCGGCCATATTCATGGCGGGGCATAAAAAAACAGATCTAACATGAGTTTAGAGTTAATCAATTGATAAACAGCCATTGTTTTTCATCAGAGAGAAAGGCAAAAATATTCAATGTAAATATTTCATACTATATATAGTTCTATTTTATAATGCTGAAAACAATGCTGTTAATGAAAGAAAAAAAATAAATGTAGTTACCTACTACACTGGTGTTTAAAAACAGCTAGAAAATATTATGTTAAATTGAACCGTTGAAGAAGAAAATGTTACCCAAATGGCCATATTTAAACAAGAATGTGGGTACAATTAAGACTACATACTTTATAATTCAGAGTCAAATATCATACAATCATGATGAAGACAAGAGCGAATTACCAAAACAACGAGAGATGACTTACAACGAGAGATGACTTACAACGAGAGATTACTTACAACGAGAGATGACTTACAAAGAGAGATGACTTACAACAAGAGATGACTTACAACAAGAGATGACTTACAACGAGAGATAACGAGAGATGACTTACAACGACAGATGACTTACAAAGAGAGATGACTTACAATGAGAGATGACTTACAACAAGAGATGACTTACAACAAGAGATGACTTACAATGAGAGATAACGAGAGATGACTTACAACGAGAGATGACTTACAATGAGAGATGACTTACAATGAGAGATGACTTATAATGAGAGATGACTTACATCAAGATATGACTTACAACAAGAGATGACTTACAATGTGTCACATCAGCAAGAACGAAGGGAGGTAATGTACTTGATATGAAAGGGAGCTAACTTCGTTCAGCTTAAACAATAACAAGAGTTAT